ATTGGAAGACCGCTATCCTGTCTCCCCTAGTTCTTCTTTTCATTAAACGAGACATACCCAGTTCCTGCAACCGTTCTTTGTATGATGTAGCCTCCTAATCCTTTTTCTTGCTGTTCTCTGCACTCTTTCCAGAGTCTCCACATCTTTTCTACATCGTGGCAACCAAAACTGGATGCCGTATTGCAAGTGTGGCCTTCCCAAGGCCTTGTAAAGTGGTATTAACCCTTCACCTGATCTTGATTCTCTCCCTCTGTTGATGCAACCTAGAACTGTGTTGGCTTAAATACATTTAATAACATCTCTGCTGTCCGGCTCTTCTCTTTTAAGGCCCAGCACCGTGTCAAAATCTCTCAGAAGCCAGTGGAGGATTTGAACTCGGCTCCCATCCCGGACAAGGCCGTTTCCTCTTCCAATACAGAATGCAAAGTAGGGTTTGGAGGTGAGCCAAGGAGAAAGACTTTGTAGCCGTGCCAGGCCTGGCCTTGCCGATACAGGCAGTCCTCGACTTACGACCATTCGTTCAGTGTCAGGTTTCAGGAGTAAGAATCGAGTTTGTGCTTTAAAGCAATCAGGAGGGCTTTAATCGAATCAGGTCCTGAAAAAAAAAAAGTTATTCATTTTAAGCTATAGGGAATTGTGGGCTCTATTCTGGTCGTTAAGTCGAGGACTGCCTGGAGCTGTGTTCGAGTCCCGCTTGTCCTTTTCTGTTCCAGGACACACGGATGCCCAGAACGGCGTTGTGCTTCTGAGCTTCACCGTCATAGATGGACCAACCTTGCAGGAAAAGGCGGCGTCCAGCATCCCCAAGACGGGCCGGGTTCTGACGACCAAAGAACTGATTGTGAGGCGGGGACTGGCGGTGGCCGGCGCCGTGGGAATTCTAGCCGTGGGAATTTTGATACGGATATTCACAGTCCACAATTAACGGCTGGGGAGAGACTAGAACACACCCCCCCCCCTGAACCCACGGCAAAAAAACTCAGGCGCAGGAACCTGTTTCATCCAGCAGAGGGCACTAGTGTGTTATACTCAGAAATTCCACCAGGGGGCGAAGTTCAGAAGTTACAGACGTTACACTCAGAAATTCCACCAGGGGGCGAAGCTCAGAGGTTACACATGCTATACTCCGAATTTCCACCAGGGTGCGTCCATCTCAGACAAACATCGTGGGACGATGGCCATTTCGCTTCGCCCAAGTTGGCCGAATCTGGCGTCTCAACATGCAAAAGACTGATTTTGGGGAGTTCAGAAAGTTTATTTTCCATCATAGATAACCATGTAACCTTTCCAGATAAACATCTTTTAGTAGTAATTTTTTTAAACATGGTTTTTAAATGTAGGCCTTTCAAAGAAACAAGGAGGTTAGAAAAGGTTAGCAAACAAGGAAATATGGACCCCAGGGAGGTCAAAGTCAAAATGACACTCCAACCATGATTCATATCACGTTTTCCTGAAAATAAGACCTCCCCGAATAATAAGCCCAATTGGGCATCTGAGCGCATGTGCTAAAATAAGCCCTCCCTCAAAATACTACAACGCAGCTTGCCGCCTCCTGCACCTCAAAAATAATAAGGCCAAGTGCTTATTTTTTTTGGGGGGGGGGGTGTCAAGACAAAATAACATCCTGTCACAGGGTAAATAAGATGTTTCATTCTTGTTTACGTGGGATTGCAAAGACGACGTTCCAATGACATGGTTGGAAGGGTGCCATTTTGACTTTTTTGACTGCTCTGCAGATGCCAGGGGCCAACTATTTTTTTTGGGGGGGGGTGTTGCCCTTTAATTTAAAGAGATTAACCCAAGCAGCAGACGGGGTAATTAATTTAGGATTTATTTGGCTTGTGCAACGTGGTTTTTTTTTTTTTTTTTAGCCATGGTTTGGTCCAACGAAGCTCTGAGGATCTTAGCTAGGAACTCAAGCATGCTATTTATACACGGGACACAACCTAACCAGGATTAGAAACCACCTTTCGGGTTTCTCTCTCAAGCTCCCAGCATTGGGAAGATTCTCTCTCCTTGTCCGTCCACCGTAGTTCATTCGTTGGTTTTAACCGTACAGCCACTTACTATTTGTTAAGAAGAAAAGTTTACAAACCGGTGAGAAACGTACTGGAAATAAAATGGAGGTTGGTTGGAAAGGATTCAGAAGCACAGCATGTAGTTCTGGGACAGCTGACAAATTGGTTTGATGAGTACCCGGATTGTTATAAGGTTCTGAGATGCTCCAGGGGGGTTGTGCAATATAGTGAGCCTTGTGTCTTTTGCTATTCGGATGGTGGCGAGTTAATCCTATTATTTCCTAGAAGTCATGTCCTATTCTTAGAATTTGGGGATGGGGCCCCCCTGTAAATTTTAATCCCATCATCTGGAGTTGAAGGTGTTTTGTCTGTGAATAGGCTGGCCTGGATTTCTTAATGGGCACAAAATATCCATCTCTAAAGACTTCGGGCACCTACTGGAAGGCGTTGAGTGTTGCTTTCTGCCTCTAAAAACACGTTTCTCTATTTCTTCTTTGGGGAGAAATATACTATTCAGCCTCTTTTAATATTCCCCCAAACATTTCAATCTTTAGAAAAGTGCGTGGTTACTTCTTACACTACTAATCCTAGTTTTGTTTGAGGTCTGCTCATTTCAAACCTAGGGTGGTTGAACCAATGGCCGAGGGGTGCCTAGGGCATGCTCAGGATAATGGGATGCGGAACTGATCTTGGGAGATAGGAAGAAGCATATTTGCAATTGAGGCAACTGTCAAGAGAAGAGGTTGCTAAGCGGCAATAAGGATGTGGGAAATCTTAGAAGATACCTTCCTGTTGTGGCCCAGCAGGAGCCGTTGGAGCTGCCGACAGACTCCGATAGCGAGGGACCCTCTGAGTCGGCTCTGGATGATGTGGAGGACCCTGGGCAGGGTTCAGACTCCGAGCAGGGACCAGAGAGGATAGTTGGCCACCAGGAGGCGCAAGAGGCGTGGAGCAGCGGTGAAAGCCAAAGGGAGTTTGGCCCTGACGTCAGGCCCTGGACCAGTGGGGAGG